TGAATCTCCTGCAAATTCTAAGTGTTAAAGAGGGTGGAGACTTTGCCCTCCTTGTGCACTACTTCACAACCAGTCCCTAACAAGACTGGCACGGAAGAGTCACTAAATATCCGTGAAAGAAAAAACGGGAAGGGTGAATGGATAAAAGCAAGCCTGGAGGGCAGGAGGCCCCAGTGAGAGTCCCACGCACTGAAGTCCATTGCAGGTCGACATGGCCACCTTGGAGTCTTTGACGCCTCTGATGCTCCCGTGATAGTAACAGTGTTCTCCACCCTGCAAAGCAGAAGGTTTAATTGACTGATTATATCTTATGCATCATCATATGCACTCTGTGAATCTTCTATAAAGAAAACAGAAATGCAAGGGTGGGAATGTATGTGCACTGTGTATTAGTAATCCTAGAAAGTCCTCCTACGTGTAGTCACAAATAGGACTCGGCAGTTTTCAACTTTTCCATAACAAGCATGTGTGTATTAAATTTAATGAAGGAAAACGGCTTTAAAAGGAATGACACCAATGTAACTTATGCAAGTTATATCCATTTCTACGGTGTGTATTATAGGAGTAGATACTTACCAGATGTTGTTATGAAATAAGGTTTCCACCTGACTGAGGAGAGACCCCAAAGGTATTGTTTATTATCATTTTTGATGGAAAATTCTGTAAAATCTTATTATTTGCTTTCCTACCTTTTTAAATTAATTCTTAAAATTTTTTAGAGAACTTAGTTTTCAAAGTCAAATAGTAACTACAAGTATTTTTTTTTNCCTATGTATTTTTTAATAGAATATTTACATTGCTATGTCCTGATTTATCCCCCTTTAGAAATTATCTTCCTAATACAGAATCTTGTAAATCCCTCTCGCCCCAATACGTTCCAATACACATCACCAGTTTTTGTTTAAATCAATATTTAATGTTTGCATTATGACTATGCAAATGTTCACAGCTGTGCCACTATAATTACATTTTCTTTCTTACTCCATTTTTAATTTTTTGAGAACTTTTGCTTCATTTTCTTGTTTCCTTATTTTTCCATTTCCTTGTTTCCATCTCTATATCACCTATAATCTTTGAGTATTCTAAAACTCCTCTCAGTATGGTCAAACACATCGGGTAATTTATCATGTCCATTTTGGTCCTGGAGACAGCCCTCCTGTTTGCCTTCGGTCTCCTGCTTCAGTCCACACTCATTGCTTTCTAGGACCCGTACACAGCTGCCATCCAGGACTTCTCTGTAGCACTATTCTGGATGCTCCCCTTGCCTCCACTCTGTATTGGATCCCAGATCCCCCGTCTTCCCCAGTCATGGGTTCCACTCCCCTTTTGTGGAGGCATATATCCTCCAGTACTTTCTTCAAAAAGTGTTCATGAAAGATAAATCTGGTGAGAGCTTGCATATATGAAAATTTCTTCAACCCTCACACTAGATCCATAATTTGGGTGGGCAGAGAATGCTAGCTTGGAAATTATTTTCTCTTGGCACTTCCAAGGCATTGTGAACAGTCTTCTAGTTTCTAATGTTGCTGTTAAAAACTGGATCTTATTCTAATGTTATTTTCTACAAAATCTGTCTTTGCCCTTTCAAGAAAACTTCAGAAAATTCTATTCAGTCTCATTTTCATGAAATCTCATGATGTTTCTTGGTGTGGGTCTTTGCTCCTTCATAATACTGGGCCCTCTGGGGCACCTTTTAATCCAGAAAACTATCCCCTTCTGATTGGAAAGCTATCTGTTACTATTTCTCTGGTAATTCCTGCCTTTCCATTTTTCTCTATAAACTGAGCTCCTCCACCAGACTAGAGAAGGCATGGCCACCTGGCTATATGGGGTAGGGAATAAATGAGGGACTTAACTACACTCCATGTAGACTTTCAACCAACCTCTCCGTTTTCAGATGCCTTTGATTCCTGGGTCTTTTTGTGATAAGTGTCTTGAGTTCATTTGCTGCTTCTTGGTTTCCCCCCCAGGAGAACCTAGCAGAGCAGAGCAAAGCTAAGACAGTCACCCCTCATCCATCTGCTTTCCATCTTCTGAAATTTTATGGACACCTCTCATCTGCTGTCTTCTCTTCTCTTGTCTTTGCCCTTGTGAGTTTATATCCTTTTTTATTCTTTGTTATTTGAGTGGGTCATTAGATGGAAATAGAGATAAATATAAAATACATATATATAAATATAAAATACATATATATAAATATAAAATACATATATATAAATATAAAATGCATAT